AACCCCAAAACCCCAAAACCCCTTAAAATAAGATTAGATAGAATTAAGTAAATCAAATTAATTTATTATTTTATAATTTTGAATGTCAAATATCATCCAAAGCCTATTTTCTTGATTGAAATTATTACCTTCTATTTCTTTTTCTATGCTAATTTACTGTTACCTGTGCTTGAGCAATATTTTTCTGAATACCTAAATTGAATGCTCCATATCCTCTATTTTAAAATTTTTCTAAATCTATTTTCATTGATATCTAAGGACTTTCTAAATTTGGATGATCATCTTAGGCGTTAGCTGAATAATTGAAATTTAAATCAGTAACTATATTTCTTTATCTTTGTTAGATCTCCTCACTTTCAAAATGAACAGATTAAACCTCCATTTCTTATTCGATTCCAATAATTTACCCATCAACGTTATCTTACTTGCTCTCTACGTTTTAAAGCATTTTCTCATCGGTCAATTCTTATTTTTGAGTTAGATTTCTCATAAATGGTTTAATCTAGCTATTTCTATAAAATCTATCTGGGCTCACCTCATCTATTATTGATTCATCATGTTCAAAAAATAAGCTATCATTTACCTTTGATTATATATTTGCTTTATACTATTCTTTAGTATTCAAAATTTTTATGGTCATCATTGATATATCATTAACTTAATCCTGTAAGTTTTTGTTATTTTTTCTCTTTACTTTCTATCTTTTGTTTTTAGTCTTCTATCTTATTAAATGTATTTCAGAATGAATATTATTAGGACTGCTACTTTCAGGATTTTCATTGTACTTACTAGATTAAATAATCTTAGATTTTTAATTTTAGTATTTTTATTTCGCTCTCCTTACTAAAGAAATTATCATCATTATTGTTGAAACCATTATGACTATTATATTGACAATAATATTTATCATCACAACAAGTATTAAAGACCAGCCAGCATTATATTAGATGTTTAAATCACTTATATAATCCTGGAAAATAATAGTATGATACGATGAGATTAATATACATATCTCATTGAATATTTCTAAGTTGTTAAATGATGATATGCTAAAAGGCTTCAAATATAGAACAAATATTATCATTATCAAGCTCTAGGCAAATACTACATGATATTAAATTATGGGGTAATCCTAGAAAAATAAAGCAGCTAAGCAAAAAATAAATCTTCTAAATCCAAAGAAAAATGTATATAGCAGATTAGATTTTTTCGAAGTGACAATATTTTCATAAAAAGCTCCATAACTATGATGAGTCTTTGCCTCTTCTAGTTTACTTTGATTTTTTATCATAAGAATTGTAGCAACTATTGGCAGTAAGATAGAGATACTTATGAATACAAAAGCCAAAAGAAATGAAATATAACTTGTAGTAGTATTCAAATTCATATCAGTTAATTGAATAAATGCTGACATAGTTAGTTCTAAATAAGCCTCCATGAAAAATCTAATGAAAACATTGAAGAAGATATAAGTTGACAAAAAATGATATGCCTTCACAAAGCTAAAAATTATAAAAGCAAAAGCATAATACTATACATTTTCAATTTCAAAGAAATTAGCCTAATAACAAGAGTAATAATCGCAATAAAAGAAATCACATTCAAATAAATGAACAAACTGCCTAGATTCTAAATAAAATTTGTACTTCCATAGCGTATTAAAAGTTAATATTTCCAAAAGCAAGATAATTAAAAAGATATCCATAATGAAGAATTCATCACTAACAGCATTTGGATTTTAAAATTAGAATATATCTTATTCAATTTCCTCCGCCGGCAAAATATCAAACTATGTCATACTGATGAAAGTTCCAAACACATATTAAGTATTAGAAGGGAAGTTCAATTTTAATAGAGGCAAATGAAATATCACTTAGAGAGCATTAATCATTCCCCACAGGTACTATAATGTAGTGGCTCTATTGAAATAGATGTAAGATAATAAAAGCTTTACAAAACTAGTTATAGAATGAAATTTCCTAGCAATAGAGTTTAAATTGATTACTAACTTGTGCCAGCAAGTTCACCTACTTTTGCTGAAAGCACTATAAGTTTATTATAAAATCTAAAGTTTAATCTTACTGTCTCTTCTCATCTATTTAGGCAGTTTTCTCTCAGTGTAATAATTTAATTGAATAGGCAATTTTGACTTTTCACTGATAAAAAACCCATTCATTAGAAACTGTATTGAAACATAGTTTGTAGACTAAAAATTAAGTAAGATTTAAATTCCCTTACTTCAGCAGAAACTAGAAGTGGTTCTTAAAAATCTAATTTGATCTTTAATTCTCTCTTGGTAAATAATGTTACTTTCCATGAGTACTATAGATCATCGGATGAGCTAGTTTAAACTGCAAGCATTCTTTTTGTCTAGTTCTTTTTATTCTTATCAGAGTTAGAGTCCTATTTAACTCTCATTTTCATAACTTTATCATTGAAATTTGCATAACTTTTAGGAATAAGAACATCTAAATTAAAGTTTATAGTCATTTCACCTTGCTGATTAATTTATGATATCTATGGCTTAAGTTATGGATCATATGCATTTGCGTTGATCTTTTTTAACAATTCTTGATAAATATTACTACTTAGGTTACTAACATTAAAATCCTCGGAAGTATATAAGACATTTTAAACTTCTTATGCTTATTGATCTAGATATTAATTTGAGGCTTAATAAATTGCATACTCACTTTAATTGAATATTTGATCGTTTATTGTTACTAATGTCTAATTGCTAGTTGAATTTTAAGTATTTTAATTCTAGTTTTAAAATTAACTGTCATCATTTGCTGCTTTAATTATAATTGTTAATTCGTAATTAGTTGACAAAGATTAAATATCTTGATCTACTAGTTTGATTTGAATTTTATATGATTTGCCCCCTTATGTTGATGATGGACTTATTGAGAAGCTCTTTGTTGTTCGATAGTAATTGACAAAGTTAGAAGCTTTACCTAGAGATATTTAAATACTAACCAAATTTCTTGAGTATGATTAAATATCTGGCAAATTGTAGGAATGTTTTTAGTTAATATCTAATTCAATATATTCAAGATCTTCTTTGAAAATTGGAGGAACCAAAATCTTTGATACAGTCTCTAATTCCCAGATATAATTATCTGTGAACCAGAATAAATGAACTTGATATTTTTAAAGTTCTGCAAATTAGTGAACTATATAAACAGCGGATATGACTGTAGAGTGAATTTAATCTATCAAAGGTAATACAACTGTAGAGGTTGTCCCCTACCTACTTTAAGGATTAAGGCATTTGATATTGATGATATATTTGCTGCTTGAGATGATATTAAAAACTGAAAGATTAACTTTTATTTTTATTTGAAAGTTTGGAGTGCCATGTGCTACTTAGAGCTCTGGTACCTAATGAGTACCATCTTTGATATTTATTAACCATGGTGACAAGTTTTAATCATTATCAAGAAGCAATGAATATTTGTAAAATTTTTGGCATCCTATTAAATCAGTAAATTCAGCTTTTAGAGTTATGTTTGTTTGAGGGTATATTAGAGCAATATCTTCTGAAATATCTGATGGGGATGTTATTATTGTATCTTTGCAGTCTGCTGTTATTAGCACTGGAATTTCTGTTTAATTCTTTACGTTTTGTGTTGTCGCTGTAATTTGTAGTTTCACTGCTTAGGCCTTTCTAATATCCGATGTAAATATACTTAGCATACCTGTATTATGATTAATTGTAAAAATAGCTGGGTCACAAACATTTTATCTTCTTGAATCGGTACAACTGTATAATATATCTCCACAACCATAAAAATTTAACTTAAATCTTGTAGAGAAATCTATATCGATCTTTATATCATTTACCGTATAGTTAATTTACTCTACTAATAGATTCAGATTCTCGATAATTTGATTAGAACAATTCGTCCTAGCATTAATCTTAATTATAGTCTGAACATATTCAAGATTAGGAATTTTTCCTTTCAGTATTAATGGAATAGTTTAATTTTAGGCCCTGTAATCTGTTATTTAAATCCATAAATAGGTTGAATTTTGATTTATATTTTTATTCAAATACTAATTGTATATATTAGAGGCATTCTCAAACTCAATTATGTATTAAAACTACCCGCAAATTTGAGTTGAAATACTTGATAAAAAATTAGATATCAAAATTTGCCTAGCTTATCCAATATATAAATCAATATCATCCTACTAAGTAGCTGTAAGAATAGATTTCAAACAAGGATTAATAATATTTAGATCAAATACTGTGCTAATAGAAATTCCACCACTTATTTCACCTTTAACTTGCATGTTATAATTACCAGCAAAATAAATATTATTAGTCCCTATTGCTAAAAATTCATTTGATATTACTGTTGAAAAGATTTTAAAGTCATCTGAAATAGAATATATAATCTTATTGCACAAAAGAGGACTAACTGACCATTTTAAAGGAATCGTAAGGTTATTATCCCCTACAGTATAATGTTAATTTTCTATTTAAGGGTCATTTATAGATGCAATTGAGCAATCCAAATTATAATCTACTTAAAGTTTAAGTACTTCTTTATTTGTTTGGTAACCAACTACATAGCCAATAAGTATAAATTAGTAACTAGTAGTACCTACGTTTTCTAAATTTAATGGGTTCTTAAACGTTATTTCTTTATGTATCGGATCAAGAGTAATGCTATAATTTTAATGGGGAGCTATCATAGTAGTTTCATCTTAAATTTCATAAGACAATTCACATTCTAATTTATCAGTACTCCAAGTAAGTTTATAGCTCAGAATTTATGAATCGTTATTATTGATTGTGTATTTTATCGGATTAGGAATAGTTGGAAGATTTTTAATTTATATTTAGGCAATTTAACAAGGGTGAAAAATATTGATAGTAATTGGAATTGAAAAAATCGAGGATATTGGGTTATCTTAAAGGTATGCAGTGCAACCTAATTCATATGATCCAATATATTCAACATCACCAGTAAAAATTTGTACTATTGATTACTCCTAGTAGTTAATTAAAAACATGTTAATATTGGATTGGCCATCAAAGCTTATATTGTAGATTATTTTGCAAGCAGCTTATACAGAACTTATTAATATATCATAGCTAAAGTTCTAAGCTGTATTACCAATAGTATAATTAAATACAGAACTAATTTCCTCTTTGTATTAAATAGTAGCATTGAGACATTCGCTATTAAAATCAGTTATTTATATGATTAAGTCATTTCTAATTGTAGGACCTCCAAGAATTAAGGTTGAAACAGTAAATTGATATATTCCTACATTTTCATCATTCGTAGTGTAAACACTCAATTCAGGCTTTGTTTGATTAAATAAGAAGTAATTAGGTATAATACCATTTTGTATTATGCCATTCTTAAAAGAATATTAGATTTAATAGGTCGCATAATCAATGCAGAATGATGGAAATGACTGATATTAGCTTAGGTCAAATATTTTTCCTCCATCATTAACATTGTATTAATAAGGGATTGTGTTGTTTAAATCATTATCTGGTTATATAACTGCTAATGTGCAACCACTTGAATATTCAATTGAAAAATCAATGAAACTACGATAATCACTATTTTAAGTACTAATTAAAGCCATTAAGGTATATTAAAATGTCTAATCTTGCAATTATTAGTTTTAGGTCTATATTTGAAATTTTAGAATTTGATTTGTCTAACTATAATCAATCTGAAAAACTTAGGTGACATAATTAATATCAGAGTCAAAGATAAAAAATTCTGGCGCTTTGAAATTGCAGTTTTAATAATAAAATCTTAACTCTGCATTAAATAGTAGATACCAATTCGGTAATCCTATTTAATATGGATATACACTGTTCTCCCCTTCTCCAATTAATTACATTGAGCAATTTTCATAAATATTTAGTTTAAACTCCATTGATCTCCAAAAAACATCTTAATTTGCTATTAAATTTCCCTACAATCTCAAAAGATATGTACCTGCGTTAGAATTCTATCCACAATCGAGGACAATCCTTAGAACAGAAGACTACTACTCAATTTATATTTTTTCACATTGTGGTAAGATTTATTGGCTCAATGAACTTATTATATTGTATTGAATTGGGCATGGTTCAAGAGTTAAAGTGAACGGACTGAAATTGAAATACTCAGTTCCCCTTGCAACTGTATAATTTATATCTTGATAGGTTTAGTTGCTTAAATCTATCATAGCTTCTTTGCAATCTAGCACGGTCACGTTTAATGTAATATTTTAGAACCCTACAAGGTATTTGTTTAGAATAGCTTTTATAGCTATTTAGTATACACCTATATCTTGTGTCATTGGATATATTGTAAGCTTTTAGTTTGAATCATTCAATGTGATGAATGAGGGAGCCTGACAAAGTTCTTCATCTTCATTTAATAAGAATAGTTAAATCTCCCAATTTTTACAAAGAGTATCATTCGTTGTAAATTTCTTGTAAATTATTGTGTTATTTTGATTAGTTTATCCAAGGCGATAAGTGAAGTTTGGCAAAGTCTGTGATAGTACAGATGAATAAGAATCACATCCTAAAAAAGTTACAGTTATTAGCTCACTTTTAGTTACACTTGGATCATCAGAAAGAATGTATGATAAATAAAAGGTTAATATATTTCCTGTCTCATATTCATCACTCTATGTTACGTTGACTATTATCGAATCGTTTTGTATAAAGTATTATGGTGAATCTTCAATGTAATTTGATTCATAATCTGATAATTTTGTCTCATAATTACAATGAGAGTTCAATACTGGTGGTGTAATTTTTGTAATATTTTAAGTTCCTTGACCTAAAATGTAGCTAAAAGATGAATATGCAGAAGTAATCAATTTCTAATCAGAGCAAAGCGTAAAGTTAAAAGTTATCATTACTTGTTTCTTGATACCAAGTACAGCTGATGTTCCTTAGAAAACGATAGTTTTTATTCCCTTATCCCTCCTGTCTGAACTTTCAATTGTTAATGTATTTGTTTAGTTTTGATTTTCTTGTAAATACTTTATGAATGGTGCTTAATCAATAGAGTTACCTTCAAAATTATACTTAGAAGTTATTGATCCACAAGCAGAGTTATTTGTCTGAAATATTGGATGATTATACGATTACTCTACTGGATTTTCTGAAATCATATAATCAAAAATTGGAATTTAACTTGAGAGGTAGATATCATTTTTTTAGCATCCTTCAGAAACTATTAACTTAGTTGAAACTTCATTATTTTAACCTGTGCCAAAAAACTTTCTAATTTTAATGTTGTAAGTTTCTTTTTTAGCAATCTGAGGATCGAGAATAAATTCCAGACTAGCAGGTATAAATGTAATAAAATCAGGCAGTGGTTTGAAAGAGTCATCAGAGGCAAAAACATATTCAGATTAACAATCATTATCTTAATTAGCTATCTTCCAAGAATCTATTGAAATTAAATTATCTGATATTCCAGGAACATAGTTTATTGGATTAGTTATTATTGGAGGTGTTATTTTTAATTCTTGACATTAGTGATATACTATATCAACCTCTATTGATATATTATTAGAATTAGCTTATCGTAAGTAACCAATAATCTTAATTCTGTAGATAATTCCTGCTAAATTTCAATCATTTGGAGGTCTAATTCTCAATGTTGCACCGTAGTTATTACTACTATCGAAATATAATTCATTTCCATTAATTGATTGAGAAGCACTTGATAGATTCACTGCTTTATAGTCAATATAGCAGCGATAGTCTGAATGAAATTAGATCCAGGTATTAGATCCATAGTTATTGACAACTGAAGCATATATTTTATCTGGAAGGGACATTTCCCCAAGATATGCTGAATAACAAGAAGTTATGTTAAGCTTAATCTCGTAAGATTTCATAATTTGAAGGGTATTACTACTCTTCCCTGTAACATTAATTGTATAAATACCATCAAACTCACTAGATGTCGTTTATATTGGAACTCTGTAATTTGCCCAATTAGATTGTGGTTATTTTACAAATGGCTTTTGCAAAAAATCAGAGTCATCAGGTAGTTTAAATGTGTTAATTATTTATCCGCAACCACTATCACTGGTAGTAATGTATTGAGTAAAGTAAAAATCGCTATATTAATTCTGCTCGAATGCAAAGTAGTAAAACATTGTGATGGGAGTGTTCGTTTCGAGATACAAATCTTAATCTTCACATTTCTTGATCAGAATTGTAAAAGTGTAATAAGATGGATCTTAATTATTTATAAGTTAACCATATAGCTTCACATTATAGATTCCCTTGTCTGAATATTAGGGGTTTAAAGATAATATCATAGAATCAACATCAAAACTCATAAATGAAGGAATATCCGTTCCATCAGACAAGAGAAGATAGTAGTCAAATATATTGCAATCTGTGTTTGATGTAGAAAACCTATTAAATATGATGGTGTTATCTACATCTCCAACTACATACACATACTGCATACCGCTATTGCTATTGATGTTTACACTTAAATACTCATTTGTTGAACAATATTCGTCTAATAATCTAACAGTGAAGCTAGAATTAGCATATAATATATCAAAACCCTTGTGTTGAGCTTAAATCGTTAAATGTAGTTAAGTTGTGCTACCTTATTATTAAAATATGCTCAAATGAGTTGAATTTATTGAGATTGGATCATTATTAGATGGGTTTATTTTAGTATATTCAAAGCTACAATTAGGATTATTAGATTTCCATTATGTTAAGTCAATTTTTAGTGGATCTGACCCAATGATGTAATTATATAAGGGAAATTTATAGCTCGGTATATCATAGTCTAAACAATTCATGAAATTGATTACTATTGAAATGCTTTTTTTATAAGTAGAATTTTAAAATTACCCAAACATTTATGGTTTCAATGTTTTTATGCCTTATCCTCCAAATTTTGTTGTATCTGTACTTTAAAATTTAAATATTATCACCTCAGGTGTGATTTCGTATAAAACTAGCTAAGAATCCTCCACTACTGAAATATCTAAATGACCACATTGTCCATTAACTTTATCTTTAATCAATGGAACTTTGAATTACTATTCTAAACTATCAGGTCCTACAAAATAGTTAAATTCATCTATTCTTGGTAATTGCATGCCTATATCACTCTCACAGTACACTTTTAGTTGAACATCGAATGTTTAAGAGTATGAATATTCATCTTATTAAAAGGCAACTACTACTAATGTATAATTATCGGCATCAAGGATATTTGCAGAATATAACTTAACTTTTTATTCTGAAGCTTAAAGTTTAAAAATTGATTATTTTTCTAATATCTTAGACATTTTATATACTTTAATTTCATATCTTACAGTTTGACCACACTTCCAAGTTATTTATTAGTATTAAATGAAAGAATCCTCGTCTGTTTTGCCAATGAAGTATGTAAATAAATCTTGTTAATTTTTGCTACTTTGAGGTTTTATTGGTAAATCTTAAATTTTACACTAATAGGAACTTTGTTATGTCAAATCAGAAATGAGAAGGCTATTATTCATATTTTTTCCTGTTAATATTTAGAAATTTAATTCAGTGCAAGGGTCGAAAACACCATTTTAAATATCAAATTCAATGCAACTGTTTATAATTAATTGATATGAGTTAGAAAAATCATTAGGATTAAAATCTAATACCGAAAACTCAATGCTATCTTAAATCATGCTTATACAAGATTGAAAAGGATTTAATCCCAACAAGTAAGCAGTTTTCCAAGGTTCTTATTTTATAGATCTTTTAGATCCAAAAGCATCATAGAAAAAATTCGTTTATCCTATAATGAATCCTTAATCATTGTTTATCAACTTAGAAAATTTAATGCTAAATGAGTCTAACTATAGAAATCCCTTGAATTCTGAGAATTTGAATTTGTTATAGTCTAATTGGACTAACATAACTGTTAAATCTGTTTAAACAATCATACTAGCAGTATTAATATCTTGATGATAGAAAATATCAAGACATTTGGCTGTAGCTGATTATTGACTTGGCTCATACATGATGTAATCTGATAATAAATTTTCACCTTAATATTGGCCTTTGACTAAATAGATCATAGCTTATCCTTTTATATTTAGACAACTATTTACCATTTCATTGTTGGCACCATGCTAAAGTTGTATATGAATTTAACTATATCCTTCAGTTTCAAATTCAAATCTAAATTAGTGATTAGAATTACATTAATAATCTCTTATAATATCTCCAAGTAGCATTTTTGAGATCTAATTTGATTGGTTAATATTCCCATATAGCAAGAGAATCTCTTCATGTTCAAATATTCCAAATGCTACAAACTGATCAGGTTTATTAAGAATATACTCTCAATTATTTTAACTTTCTGATTATTATAAAACCATGATTTTTTATTGCCAAAGTAAACTATCTTAGTATATATCAACTAGTATTATCAATTTGTCAATATCAATAAATTGCAAGCATTTCTATTCGATCCTTAATTCATAATATTGCGGATATTCTACTGTGTCTGTTAGGTAATATTTTTTATCTATTTCTTTAGTAATTTCTGAGTAAATTTGAATCATACATCTTTATCCACTCATTGCAATAGCTACTTATCCAGTTTCTTCATTGTATACCAATGCTGTAATATCATTTACTCCAATTTAGACGAACAAATTGAATGATTATATTAGTTTTCCAAGATTGTTGATAACCAGAAAAAATAATTTAGAATTGACACTTTTAATGATAGTCAAATCCTCTGTATAACCTCCTATATAAATAAATGTAGAATCTTTTGATACTGCTACTTTTGAAAAATTAACATCTGAGTATTAACTACTTAAAATCCACGGGAATGGTTTGCCATTGTATGTACAATCTGGCTAGAAATCTGTTAATATGTTGCTGCTAGTCTGTTATTACTAGCCTGTATCATCAAGTAATTTCCGACATTTTTAGGTGCTCTGATTTATAATGAATTCTGATGACTGGGAGGGTTGATTTTATAATATTTTTTAGCCCTATGCCTACTTTAATTCCAAGAATTAGCTAAAAGCTATTTAAGTGATCAAGAAAGTTTGAGCTAAGATAATTAGAGTTCTCCGTTATATGATAAGTTATTTCGGTTGTCCCTTAAACTAAACTAATGAATCAATAATTCTATCCATTTAATTACAATTTCTTATATAAATTAAATCAATCAGATTTATGTAAGATTTTTTAATCATGGGGTTTTGGGGTTTTGGGG